CTCTCTCTCTCTCTCTCTCTCTCTCTCTCTCTCTCTCTCTCTCTCTCTGTGTGTCTCTCTCTGTGCGAGACATGCACATTGAAGCGAAATCTTGAAGCGCGCGGTCAAACACGGTAAAGCACGAGATATACATGTCGAGGCGAAATCTCGAAGTGCGCGGTCAAACACGGCAAAGCACGAGAGGGGTTGAAATACCAGACAGTGGGCCCGACGAACGACTTGTTTCGGAGGACCCGAAAGAACACTCCCGGCCGTTGATATTGGCAGGCAGGCAGGTCGGTGGGCCGGATAGAACTTTCACGAATCGGCCAGGCGCTGATTTCGAAGGACCCGAAAGAACACTCCCAGCGGTCGAGATTGGCGGGCAGGCAGGTCGGACGGCCGGATAGAACTCTCGCGAATCGGCCAGGTGCGGATTCTGGAAAGCTCTACCCGGCCGTCCAACCCGCCTGCCCGCCGATCCCAAAGTCCGCGAGTGTTCGTTGGGCCCCACCGCCAGTCCCAACGTTTTTCCCAACACTCGGAGCAGGGTTTCGCGGGGGCGTGACGCCAGACCTGCAACTTGCTTAAGAATAGTAAGGGAAGAAAACGATCATCAGTCAAATATTGGGGCCGAGGTATGTCAGACCACACACAACGTAATAAAAAGGAGGGGGGGGGGATTTGACCAGCCAATTTGCCTTGGAATCGAATGGAGAACAGTGGCGATGTCATTTGTTGGCCACCTGCTTTTTCTGGTACATCAGATTTTGACAAAATTAGTAAATTACTTAATGTATTGAAACACTTGAAAATTGAAATTGATTGGCAACCGATTTTGATCGCTCGCTTTGAAGTTTCAACCTCTCCTTTTTTTTTTTTTTTTTTTTGCTGATGATCCTTTCTTATCGCTCGCTTTGAACTTTGTTTTTTTGGCTTTGCTTATCGTTGCGGTGCAGAGAGTTCTGGCCCGGTGTCAGGAACTGGAAGCCAATATGTCATCTTCATGGCAAAATGATGGCAGCCAAATAGGGCTTTTCAGGGTAGCAGCAGAGGCCATGCAACCCCCAACTGCTTCTCTTGGCGCTTCTGCCTCGGCGTCGGTCAATGGCTGATCTTGTGCGGTACTTCTTCAGTCAAGGCTATATTCATGCTGATGGTCACTTCTCCTACCAGTCAAGAAGGTCCTCACCCCAATGCGTTTGGGCAGTGGGACCTAACCACAAGAACAGAAGGCACCCAGTGCTCATTTGTCTGCAACCTAAATGCCAAGCTGAGGGGGGATGCACTGCCTGCAGTGCAGTGTTTCGACTACTGGTAGCCCAATCAACTGAGCCTGTTCCTACTGCTAGGTGGCTAGTGGCTGTTGCTATGGGGCTTCCACTGCCTTGCTCTGGTGATGTGGCCCTCCTATCTGCCTGCCGGGAACCTATCTGGACTGGAGACGTCAGCATCTGAACCCCCTCAGGAGGGGCTCCCGGGAAGAATGATACTGAATGTATCGTTAGCCTCCGGGCATGTCAGTTGGGCACAGCCGGAAGGATGTGAGCGGAGCGAACTCGTTTCCAGGTGCCCCCTGCTCGTTGATTGGGTGAAGGAGAGGTTGTGCAGCTCATCGGTTGTGTGAGAGGAGAGGTGGAGTGACTGTGTCCATCGGGTGGAGTAGAGGTTGCACGCTTCAGCCATTGGGTAGAGAAAGGGAGGATGGGTGAACTGCGGGCGCTAAATGAGTGTTGCCTCTATGAGGCAATCTGTCTGACGCTCGGGAAGTGGTGGTGGTGGTGGCGTTTCGAGGCCATGCTCTCTCTGTCCCTTTTTTCGTCTGAATCTGGGTGCAGTGTGTTCGGATACATCCCGGAAAATCCTAGCAGAGTACCAGCCGGAGGAGAGGTTGCAGAGCTCGGCAGTTGTTCAAGGAGGGGAGGAAGTGTAAACTAGGGTTGGTAATGATTGTTGCCCCTGGTGGAGGGCAATCAATCTGTCTCACGCTCGGGAAGTGGTGGTGGTGGTGTTGTTCCAAGGACGAGGCATACTCTGTCTGCTGTCTGTCACTCTTTTCGTCTGAAATTGGCGGCGTTGTGTCCAGGTACATCCCAGCAATCCTTGCTGAGTCGGGACGATCAGGAGGCACTATCCCAAGCTAAGGTAGGTAAGAAACTTATACCATCTGCAACACAGAGCGCAAGATCTCTGAAAGAGAACGGTATTCGGCACAACGCCTTGCATTTCCAAACCTTCTGATTGGCAGTGTTGCCAGCTACATGTTCCTGGCCGATGGTTGGCGCTGCTACTTGCCGTGTGGAGGCATTTTCGACAAGCATGGGATTGATAAAAAAATTGGGCGACACATCATGTTGTTTCATAGACCTTTGTTGCCATACATGCTTAGTCCTGGAGATTGCTTCTCTCCACCTGCAGACACGCTACTCGAGGGCTTACTTGCTTGTTGCTTCTCTCCACCTGCAGACACACAACTCGAGGGCTTACTTCCTTGTTATGTCCGCATGTGTATTCATGACCGCATGCAGCCTTGCCATGCATGGCATCCATGTAGCCTAAGGCATACTCACACGGGGACTTTGGGTAACGTATATGGCTGAAATTACAGCCAGATTCTGTCCAGAAACTACCAAGTGTGAGTATGGCTTTAGCCTTTGCGTCTGCAAGGATTCTGGAAGTGAAGGGCCTATCGGATAGTGATTTAGCTAACATGCTTTCGAACTGGTAGCTGTGCTTGCCCTTCAAGGCTATAAGGCAGTAAGTGGATGCTAGTCATGGCCCTTATGCGCAACAGGTATGAATGGCAAGCCCCTATTGATGGACCCGATGCTGGATTGGTGGATCGTGCACCCACCGCTGCCGATTGATTCGTTTGACTGCGAAGCAAAACCAGTGACACGAAGGAACAAACGACTGTTGGACCGTAGACCATGGTCAGTGAGAGATTGAGCCTCGTAGGTAACTAAGGCCAGATCTGGCAAAGTGATTGACGGGGCGTTTAACAGCGGTCAACGTCTGGAGGGGTGGCAATTTGGTGCGTGCTGCTGTCTGGATGTCGACGATGAGGAGTGTTGGCCATTTGTGTATGCTGAGGATGTTGTTGCTGATTGTGTCCGCGTGCCGGGACCACTTGCAGAGCGTGCCCGCATGCCGAGACCACTTGCAGATCGTGTCCGCGTTCCGGGATCGCTTGCAGAGCGTGTCTGCGTGCCGGGACCACTTGCAGATCGTGTCCGCGTGCCGGGACCGCTTACAGAGCGTGCCCGCGTGCCGGGACCACTTGCAGATTGTGTCCGCGTGCCGGGACCGCTTGCAGAGCGTGTCCGCATGCCGGGACCGCTTGCAGGACCTGCTCAGCCATTCCAGCACACATTGATTGAGCTTCTGTCTCTTTTTATGATAGGACAGTAAGGTCCAGAGACAGACAGGACCATGCGAGAGAGACAGAGGCTTTGTCTTGCAGACGAACAGAATGTCATTGGTCAGTTAGGACAGGAGTTGCATGTGAGGCCTTGCGTCCATCTGGTACGGTGGAGGGTGTGCATTAGATGGGTATGACTACGCTCGCCTACTTCGCTTGTGAACCACATAGTTTTTAGCACATAGATTCTTTGCCTTTTGAAGGCTCTGCGGGAGTGCTTACTGCATTTCGGACACTCGCTTGTGCCTGTGCATGGGTGTTCATGATGTGCAGAGGGGGCAGGGCAGGGGACAAGGAAGGGAAAGGGAGGTGATGGAGACGAAGAGAGGATGTAATGCTCAAAATGGAGGTGATGGGAATGAAGAGGATGTATGCTCGCCCCAGAGGTAATTTCTATTGACAGGTGGCAGTTTCGTGTGAGTCGGCACAGAGAGATGCTCACACATGCACACACACACACACAGAGAGAGAGAGAGAGAGAGAGAGAGAGAGAGAGAGAGAGAGAGAGAGAGAGAGAGAGAGAGAGAGNAGAGAGAGAGAGAGAGAGAGAGAGAGAGAGAGAGAGAGAGAGAGAGAGAGAGAGAGAGGGTCTTTCATTTGCCTCGCCATCGTCGTCATGTCCGTTTTTCCTCCGGTGAGAAAGTGTACAAGTAAAATGTAAGCCAGCAAGAAAGGTGGGTAATGGAGGAACGAGAACACAGGAGATATCCCGTAAAACGGTGCACACAGAAGGATCGAAAACAGTCAGAGAGGAGGAGAGGAAAACGAGGAGGTGTTTGTGTTGTTCCCGACTCATTTATGCTGTCTGCATTCCCGATATGGCCAGGTCGTGGGGGGCAGAGAAGCAGCAGCAGGCTGTGGAAAAAGGAATGGATGTGGAGAAGGGGATGTTCAATGTTTTCTGTTTCGATTTTTCACTGGGAGGTAATACTCTGAAACAGTTTTCACCTTTGGCAGTAGCCGATGCAGATCCCAGGGGTCGATCCCTTGACCTCAGCTTACCTGTGTACAGTAGCTGCACAGTTCCCTGGAGTTGAACCCGTGACCTGCACGATAGCCAGTGGTAAGTAGGTTGCCGTAGGTTGTAGGCTGTAGGGAGATTCGAACTGTAGACCTGTAAGGTAGGAGTCCAAGTAGATACACATCTAGATGTGTATAAGAGACAGGGTGCATGTATTGTATGGGCGTGCAGATGTGCATGGGTAAATATGTCCCCGTGTGTGTGTGTGTGTGTGTGTGTGTGTGAGAGAGAGAGAGAGAGAGAGAGAGAGAGAGAGAAGGGGAGGTGGGGGCGAAGAAAGGAGATGACGGAGAAAGTGAGAGAGAGAGAGAGAGAGAGAGAGAGAGAGAGAGAGAGAGAGAAGGGGAGGTGGGGGCGAAGAAAGGAGATGGCGAACTAGTGGAGGATTGCTGTCTTGGGCTAGAGATAGCGATGCAGGAAGGTTTTTCTGCAGAGGATGTGACAAACCAACATTGTGTTTTTGACAGTTCTTTGGTGTCTAGATTAGATGTTGTTTCAATCGATCTTGAGGGATGCAAGTTTGTTGTCAGCGAAATTTGTCATTATCCATTTTTTTATTTTTATTTTTTTATTTTTGTGTGGACACATCATTGTTGCTCCAAGCTCTGTAATTCGTGAATGTCTCATTTCTGCAGATTTTGCGGATTGGCCATCTTTATAATGATTTCAAATTTAAATTCGATTATTGAAGTTGTCATTCATTAAACCAGAGTAACCAGTCGGTGAGTCCATCTATTTTGTGCACCTGATTCATTTGTTGTTTTTATAACTTTTTTTCTTTTCTTTCCCCCTCCGTTTGTCATTTGTGCCTCCAGTGCTTTTTTTCCCTTCGCAAGACACCAGACGGTGTTTCCGTCACTGAGATATTACTGGCGGGTCTTAACCATGATGAGGTGACGGCTATTCTGTCGAGTGAGAGACCCTTGTAGTTTGTCAATAAGTGGGCCCTTATTCTTACTCTTTCTACTCTACCCTTTTCCTACCTTGAGACTCGATCCCTGTACCCCTCTCAATAAGCTACCCATCTTATCCAGTTCAATAGGACTCGACCCCTGTCCCTTTCCCCAAATGTCACTCCTCTACTGATGCGGCCTAACTGTTTTTGATTCTTCAGCCAGTCTGCTGCAACACTTTCTAGGAGTTTCGACCCGGTACCCACATGAGGAATGTCCACGACCCGCAACTAGTCTTCAATTTAGGTGCATAGATGTCTCTGAATCATTCTATAGTCCTCCTGAAGACACCCGACAGGGGACCGGTAGAAACGGGTGTCGGGTCTTATCTCGCCTGATGCCTCGTGTTGTGCTTCATGCTCATCTTCAACACAGCTACCTGCACTGGATCTCTGTTTTCACTATGCTGTGGTCACTGTGGTATGTATACTCTGTGTGGTGTGCATGCAATTACTGTATGGCTGTCTTTGAAAGTTTTTGAGCACTCTGGCTGATGTTCTTGCCACCAACACAGTTCTATACCCATGTGTGTGTGTGTGTGTGTGTGTGTGTGTGTGTGTGTGTGTGTGTGTGTGAGAGAGAGAGAGAGAGAGAGAGAGAGAGAGAGAGAGAGAGA